CGTCCTCCCCTAGCGGTGTCTAGCATCTGCCAATCCTACTCTTGTGCTCATGTGACCAGTGATCTGGGCCTGCTTAGGAGTGAGAACATGCAGTATTCAGTTCCTTGTTTCTGTGATTGTTCACTTAGTATGATGGTCTCCAGCTGCATCCATGTTGCTGTGAAGGTCATCATTTTGTTCTTCCTTACGGCTGCACAGTATTTCATCATGTATATGAACCACATTTTCTTGAATTGGTCCACTTTTGATGGGCATCTGGGCTGGTTTCCTTTGTTTGCTTTTGTGAATAGTGCTGCGGTGAACATGCACGTGCAGGTGTGGTTTTGGTAGAGCGATGTGTGTTCCTCTGGGTCTGTTCCCAAAAGAGGGATTGCACAGCTTATGACTGTCTCGATTATGGGACTCAGCGGGAACATGAGTCTCTTCTTCAGTCCTTTCTCTATCAGCAATCTACTCTTTCTCTCAAAGTGTCTCAAGAGGCCTGAGGACCAAAACCTTTACGGCCAGTCTGCCCTGCCCCATGGACTGTTTGCTGGTGGGATTCAGGCTGACAAAACACCAGAAGGAACCAGACATTCAAATTGACTTTTCACTTGGACCTGGGGCTCTCACTAGAAGACATCAGGCCTCTGGCACCCTCCTTGTTCTTTATGTAAATTACACATTCATCTCTTGGAGGAGAGACCACGCCTGAGACCCTCAGTGGCTGGAATGAGGTGCCAAGGACATTGCCAAGTTCCCGACACAGCTGACCAACCATGGTCTCTCAAGGCAGAGAGGAGCTTTAACTTTCTGATTGTAAGCAGCAAGAAAGCGACCCAACGCATCAAATGTGCCTGACTTAGCAGCGCCGCTCACTGGGAATGCTGAGGTCTGCAAGGGACCACATGCTCCTGAGAGCTTAAGAAACAGGTCTCAGGTCTAACGCAGACCCTCATCTGCGCTGCCGCCAAGTCCCTCTGCACTCGCTCGCTTCCCTTCCCATACTGGTTCCCGTGATTTTTCACAACTTCTAAAATTAGCCTCAGAGCTCCCACTGAGACCTTTGGAGGGCAGCCCTGGCCACCTCTCAGAGGCCAGAAGCTGCACAGCAGGTGATTTCAATAATCCTTCCCTTTCCCAAAGGCAGCCTTGCCACTCACTGGCCTGGAACACACAGGGGAAAGGCT